TAAACAATTGTCATATTATTACTAAATCTGATGATTATTTGCACTGTTTTTGGCCTAAATGTCAATTCAAGACCAAAGATATACGAAATATAACTCGACATCAATCAATTCATTCAGAAATAAAACAATTTAAATGTGATTTTAATAATTGTAATAAAGTTTTTAAACAACATTCATCTTTATATCATCATAAAAACATCGTTCATTTAAATATGAGATTTATTTGTGATTTCAATAAATGCCACAAAAGTTTTACAACAAAACAACATTTATTTCGACACAAAAGTTGTGTTCATTTGAATGAAAAGAAATTCAAATGTAATGAAAAAAATTGTGGCAAAAAATTTGCAACAAATTGGTCATTAAAACAACACAAACGCATACATTCGGGAGAAAAACCATTTGTTTGTCATTTCAATTATTGTAATAAAACATTTTCAGATAAATATAATTTTAAAGATCATATGAGAAGACATCTGAATATAAAAAGCCATAAATGTATTCATAATAACTGTAATCAACGGTTTGTTTCTACGAGTGAATTGAAATCACATATTATTAATCATAAATTCAATAAAATCTGATTATTTAATGTCTTTTGTGTACTTTTGTTTGTATTGAAATCTGATAGAAATATACATTACTTTCGGCCGACTGTTGGCCATAATTGACGTCAAACTGATGTGTCGGACATGTCATGAGTAGAGCGCCGTAGAGGTCGTAGAGTTGACGCCGGACCTGATCTGCATCCGACTTATTGATGTACGGCATGTAAAACGTTGTAATATTGTCGGCGTTTAAGTTATAAAACTTACAAAACCTACACATAATTTACTAAAAAATTTAAAGATAAAAATATGGTAAAATTACAAACTGTCAATTAAAATGCTAATTATTTTTAGGATAATATAGTATAATTTTTGTGCAATATTTATGGAAATTATATAAAATTATGTACTATTCATAATCTTAATCCCTGTATTCATGGGTCCAACAAAAATTAGTTTAATACGCTTTGGCCCCCAATGAGAGTCGTATCAGATATTAAGCTGATTTGAACAGATACTACACTTTGATTGTATCTGATTGGCCGATTGTGCCAATCATCAAGGTGTTTTATTGCATATTAACAAACATCATTTTGTTGAATAATAATTTAAAATATATTTGAAATCATTTTATTAAATGTTTACATTTTATATCAATTATTTTAAAAACTTAACAGTGAGTTGTTTAAATTAAATAAAAAAACACAAAGATATTAAATAAATATTTTGTTTAATTAAAACACAAATTAATCGTAAATGTATCACAAACAAAGTCTCAACTTTTCGTAAAGAGATTATTGTAATTATAACTTATGAAAATTGGATTTAAATACTTGAAATTTGTTACATAACAGTTGTTCACATAATTGCCGATAAGTTTAGACCATTTAGGGTCAGGTAGGCTGTTGTTTCACTACATTGTATAAAATAAGTACTAATATATTTGTGTATGTTTTGATGAGATCTTATGATTGATATCTGGCAACAGGTTTTGGTTGTCATAAAAATGCAGTTTTGCAATGAAAAGCACAACGTGAACTGAAATAGCGATCCATTGATTGAATAAAACGCATGCATTACACGTGTTTTGTTTTGGAAATAGTTTTATGTTTTGTTAATCATTGTGTGATTTGTTTGAATATCGTTTAAAAATATTTTATTTTAGACTGATTTACAAAATGTGTTCAAAATTAATGAGTGTTTCGTTGATTGAAATGAAAGTTTTGTGTGTAAACTTTATCACAATTAATAAAATCACATTTAAATAANTAGTGTTTTGTGTGAAGCGATTGAATGCGAAAATAATGATTATTTTTCAATGAATCAAACAATTGATTGCAATTCATGTAAAATCAGTGATAAAATGCTAAACAATTGTCATATCATTACTAAATCTGATGATTATTTTCACTGTTTTTGGCCTAAATGTCAATTCAAAGCAAAATATAATAGTTGTTTAACTCAACATAAATTAATTCATTCCGAAATAAATTTATTTAAATGTGATTTTATTAATTGTGATAAAGTTTACACACAAAACTTTCATTTAAATCAACACAAATATGCTGTTCATTTAAATGTGAGATTTATTTGTAATTTCAATGAATGTCAGAAAAGTTTTACACAAAAATCTGGTTTAATTCGACACAAAAGTTGTGTTCATTTGAAGGACAAGAGGTATAAATGCAATGAAGATAAATGTAGGAAAAGTTTCTCAACAAAAGAGAATTTAATTCGACACAAACGCATTCATTCGGGAGAAAAACCATTTGTTTGTCATTTCAATGATTGTAACAAAACATTGCGCACAAAATATGAAGTAAAAGTACATATGAAAAGTCATGATTATAAACAGCAATAATTGTATTCACAATAACTGTAATCAACTGTTTTTACAATAAATGATTTCTAAAAACATAATAAGATTGAACATAACTTTAAATAATATCTCATGTATTAATATTTTATAATTAATGTAATTGGAAATATTCATTCCATAAGCCATCGCATGTCTTTGCAAACGGATTGTCTAACAATTGTAATATGTTGTATGGATTTAATTCAATTACTTTTGGCATCAAATATTTATTTTTATTATCGATTAATTTAGGCCATTTAGGGTTCGGTCGGCTAATGTAAAGCAAAATTTCAAAAGTTAAACAAAATATAATAAAATTTAATGTTATGAAAATCTAACCCATATTTCGCAAAATCTGTCCACAATTTCATGACTTGTCGACTGAATTGTGTATCATTTGTTGTGTCAGTGATTGTCGGATACAAAAGCGGTGCACCGAATACATAGTCAACGTCCGCCTGATGTGTCACTCCATAGAGTTTTTCATCTAAAAATGATTTGCGTTGAAATGTCTGCTCATAGAAATACACACCACCGGCGCCTCCCAACTGGGCGTACGCTTTGGCGAACCTATAGGTCGGGCATGTGATGCATACGTCCCCAAACAAGTCATATTCAGCCCATAGAATAGCGTCGGAATTGTTTATTTGTTTTTGTTTAGATTGTTTAACAATATATTGTTTCAAATAAAACTCTTCGACACGTTTTATATCAAAATTATGGTAAATCGTGTCAACCAATGCCACAAACTCTTGATAGTCTTTTAGGGTTTGGTTTGGTTTGATTAATGTATTTATTAATGATGAACCCTCATTCCTCATAACACCAACCATGATGTCCATATCTTAAAAACATGTTAAATAAACTTGTATTATTTATTAATTTAATTAAAAATGAATTATGATCATAATGTTAATGCAATTTAAACTATTATATATTGCAAACATAATGTTAATTTTTTACTGTAAATTATTTGTGCAGATTATAGCAAATCCATACCTTTATTAAATGAATCTAGTTTGAATGCTTTCTGAGCGGGCAGTGGTAATAATTCAGTGTCCAATAGTGGGTATACCTGAACGTCTGTGTCGTACCCTTTGATCAACGCATTGGCGTCGATACCACGCAAACAGACCAACCATTTCTCTCCGTCCGTACAGTTCATGCTTTTGGCAAATTGTTTGGCGAAAGTCAAGGCCTCGGTTTTGTTCATCGGATCCCTTATATTGTAATAATGGGCACCGCTTTGCATAATAGCCCTCTTAAATAGGCCTTTGGATAGCGGGGAGAGTATGTGTGCGGACACCGACCAACTGCCGGCGCTCTCACCAAAAATGGTGATCTGATCCCTATCTCCGCCAAATGAGTGGATGTTTTCTCTAACCTATTATTTTGTACATGTATTATAACCTTTCGTTACAATGAATTAAAATTGCAATTAAATTATTTATCAATAAATACCCAGTTTAATGCAAATAACTGGTCATAGAGTCCGACATTTCCGGGCGCGTCCTCCCGATCCCCGTATAGAAAACCAAACGGTCCTAACCTATAGTTGACGGACACAACCACCACATTGTGTGCCGCCAATAGACTCGCGTTGTATTGTTGTTGAAATATAGACCCGATAACAAAAGCTCCGCCATATATCCAAAACATGACCGGTTTTAGGGCCGCTTTCTGTCGGTCACCGGTGAGGACAGTAGGGGTCCATACGTTTAACACCAGACAGTCCTCGCTTTGTGTGATATTTCTCACCGGATCAAAGTCATCATACTCTTCTACAAACTTTTGTACACATGATTTACCATGTTTAGTCCCATCGATATACTGCTTAATTCATAGAAAATATTATTATTTATATAAAGTTATAATTTATAAGTTAATATTAATATTTTAAATACTAACACAAAGTAAACTTTTAAATCAAACATACTTTTGGAGTTTTAATGGCTGTTGGTTTGGCAAACCTGAGTACTCCTACCGGGGGTTCGGCATAAGGTATGGCCAAAAACTGGTCAACACTTGTGTTCAACACATCGATAGTCAGACCTTTCACTACACCAGAGGTTGTGTTCACTTCAATACAAACCGTGTATTCA